GCCCCCCCCCCCCCCCCCCCCCCCCCCCCCCCCCCCCCAATGCCTGAGCGATAACTCGAGTCAGCCAGCGACTGCCTGTACGATTGATCGAAATTCAAAGTCCTTATGGAGAGCAGACTCCGCTGTAAATGAACGGCCCGAAATCCGTAACTTAGGGGTTGTCAAGGCGCTTTTAGAAAACTCTACATCGCTTAGCTATAAATACATGAGTGGTTTTAAATTATGAAATCTAGGTAAATCAAACGATTTTTGAAATTGTATTATCAGTGATGAAGTGAACCTAATTTGCGCGGTATGATATGTCAGTGTCACGGAATGCGGCTGTTTATCTAGCTGTCCTGGTCCAATCTCCAAAAGTCGTTTTCATTTTATAAGGCATTGACTATTTATCAATCGATTTGGATTTGACTGTTTTGGAATGAGCGGGCGTGTGGGCAAAGGGGGAGGGAATGTTTGTGATAAGCCGCGACCGGCCAGGATCACTTCCATACGAGTTCATGTATACATGCAGATTATCGATTCGATTTTGAGGGAACATTTTAGACGAAATGACGATAGAGTGGGATATAAAGTGTCACTCTATGCATCATGACGGAAACGTGCATTCTTTGTCAAATGATTGGGTCGGGAGCTCGCACTTTACTTTATTCCAGACAAGGCCACTTGTTGGCGAAGTTGTTTGCGTTAATCAATGATTTTGATGTTTTGTATCAGTTTTCTGGTATAGGCAATGAGTCACGTCTCTTCGGGGCTTGTATATTAAAATGACGTGTTACCATTAAATCATTATGTTGGCTGAAAGCATTTCTTAGTCTGATCTGATGGAGCCATTCTGAGATGAGCCATTGGTGGAGCTTCTCATCTTCACTTGATGACGAACTCGCCTTGTTTATTGGTCAAAACATTGTGCGATGTTTCGGACTTTATCCATCTTTTCTTCCCAGCTTTGTGGTCGCAACTGAGAGTTTCAAAAATTGCACTTAACAGAATCTATTTCGGGTTATATGATGGTGTTAGTTTTATGTCCACAGTATTCACTACATTGCTGATAGAAGGTCTAGTAGCTATTCCGATGTCGCAGTAGTACATTCGCAGCTTTCAACGCCGTTTTGTATGTATGATCGAAGACTACAAAGTAGCGATGCTAAGGTCTGTGGGAACCACCCCCACCCCCATCTCCCCGTTCTAAGCCAGCTGCTCGCTCGCTAGTCTTTGTAAACAAGCTAAATCGAATCCTGGGTTTAGTGACAGCGCGTTATTCTTAAGAAATAGCGTGTATTCTGTTCAGTTTTCGATGTATTGATCGGTCGTAAAGGCAGGTTCAAAGCTATCTGAGGAGTCTTTTGAATTGTTGGTCAAAGTGCCTGGGTTGGAGTACTAGCACCATGCTCATTTCATAAGTAATCATTCGTTAACAAGTACTTACAACATTTACTTAAATACGACGTTTCAGTCCGATCGCTCAAACACGATTCAATCAGCTGTTTGAGGTGCCGAAACTGGAGAAATGGTTCAAATCAGATTCTAGTCCTAGTCGCCAGAAGCTGCTCAACTACATGAACATTCTCAACGGAAGCACTTATAGACGCAATCATCAAAAAATTAGTTATCAACAGGTGCATCAAAAATCTTAGGAAAAAAACGGTATTAGAAAAACAAATGATCTCAAATCATCTACAGATCTCCATCATATGGAGAATCTCATGCCCATTAGTAAGGCTAGGCGCTGTTTCCGCAGGAGGATTGACAAAGGATTAAACGTGTACCAAAAACGATGAAAAAAGTGCACTTGCCTTGAGACGCATGTGGATTCAGAGGATGGGCTTGCTATCTGAGCCGGATTTGTTTATTCCGTCCTTGAGTGAGTGGCAGTTAATGATGGCCTCCAACAAATAGGCTATTTGTCTACTGCAGGATACCTTGATGTGATGAGTAGCCAAATTCCAGGGCACAGTCTCGCGAGCTGTTCATGGGTGTCATCATACCAAAATCAATAAAAACGAAAATTTTATAAATACACTAGACTTTTATGCAAATAACGCTTGCTAATTAAAGAATTTGGTTAGCCGGAGTTAAAATACTTTGGTATTTCGGCTTTTTTCTAAGGGAATATAGACTCTGAAAGAGTTAAAGGATTCTTCTCCCAGAACAATTTCAACGATATTGTTTTTGCTTTTGGGCAGCATGTAATCTTCTTTATAACTAGTACGTTTAGAAATTAACTAAAAATAATGGAGTAAATTTTTAAAAATATGCTTGCAAATCAGGTGGCAAGTTGGATTTTTTTTTACAAGCCAGTAGATCTTCTACTTCAGCAAAAAGTTTATCAACGAGTTGTGTTTCTTGATGTTCTTTTGTTGTTTTTTCAGATTTGTAACTGGTTTGCAAACCAACGAGCGGCTATACGTCGACCAGCACTAGTAGCCGCTCACACACAGGTTAATCAACAGGTGGGTGTTGTACGAAATTTGAGTGGTTCGTCTTTCCATTCGTCACCTCTGTTCCCCATTTACTTTCGCGGGGGTTTTCGAACTTTCAGGTACCAAGTATCCCAACGATGCTAGCTGAGTATCGGCCAAAATTTGATTTCAACAACGTAATTGAAAGCTGTCAAAAGAGCACTAACGGCGACGTGCGTTTTCCTCTGTAGTTACTGAATTACTCACCTTGAAACAGTATTGTGAAGGTTTTCAGGAAAGTCGCATTGACGGGGGTTCCGACTCACCAACACCAAACGACGACGAAGTGCACAGTAACAGCGATGGTGCAGAAATGTCCTCGTTTCCACATATCAAGCAGGTCGGTGAGGTATGTAGATTTATGTTCTCTTCCGGACCTCATGGATTGCGCGCAGCACGTCAAGGAAATTTTCTATTTTACACTATATTCCTATCTTTTCGTGTAAATGTGTGTTAGAGTACAAGTGGATAGAAAGTGCATACTTGGTCTAGCCTCATTGTCACGCATATGGCAGACCTATTCGGCGCGAATTTTGCTGTCCTCTGGCGCTCTTTCGTTGTTCGACCTTAGCAACGGCTTATTTGTAGCGGCTAGATGTTATCTGCTTCGGTATCTGTGGGGAGCTGCTGTGACCTTGTCTAACGTTTGGATTTCAAGTCGAATTATACCAGCGTAACGAAAAAGACCAATTCGCCAACAAGCCTAATTGATTGCATAGTTGGAAAATTCAGAAACGTTAGCCACTAACTGATTCCCACGTTCATATCTTACTAGTGCTTCAGATTCATTCACTACCGAATTAACTGGTGATTCACCATATTACAAGACAGTGCCGCAATCATTGAGAACCGAGCAGCGCTTTTTATGGCAAAGAAAGAAGCTGCTATGAAGCGCCGCCGACGCGTTTGAATGCTACAGTGTGCGTCGAGAAAATTGGCACTGTTGGCTCTGATTTCTCACAATTCGAGTTAAATATGATCTGTGAAGGACGGAGGCTCTAATTCACGCCTCTATTTCCTTATGGGATTATAGGATTATTAGAGATCCGGTATGGGTTTCGGCGGATCTTTCGATTGCTAACGATAGTGCAACGCAGACCGCCGTCACTCTTTTCGTTGCCCCAATAAATATTTCGACTTCCTGCCTATGATTTTAAGAACAGTTTATCTATGCGAATGTTGAATGTTCTCACTGGAATGATAGGGAATCTTGGTTTATAGTTATGCTATTGAATTGAAGTCGCGGCAATCTTAATAAGGATTAACAGTTTGGAGATTTGAACGCGGTACGTTCACGAAAATATCTGTTGCAAACGAAGAGGGTTCGCACAAATACGTTGTTGTGATTTGCAAAATCACAAGCATTTTAAAACTACTAGTATAAATCACTTATTTCTTTCGTTACGTTTTCATTTCTTCAAAGAGTGAAATGAGTCATTCCTTTCGTAGTAGTTTGTTTCTAGGAATCCACCGCATCTTCTCCTGACTTGTCTATCATGAACTCAATCGCTAGTTCATCTCCAAAGCATATTCCCAATGATCTCTCTTTGGGTAACAACATTGGTGGAATGGGAATAGGCTCTCAGGGTATGTGAAGTACAGTCAGTAAATAAACGTCGACACGACTTCGTAGTTCGACATCGCCAAAGACGTGCTGTAAAAAGATTGTTGCAGCTGCTCGCTCACGTTTGATGTTTGATCCGTTGACTGAGTTGCCGATCTTAGAAAAGTGGTTCGAAGAAAATCCACATCCGACGTGGATGCAGATCGACCAGTATACTCAAATGTTGAATGGATGCCCATACAGGGAGAACTATCCACACATCAGTCAGCACAATGTAAAGGTAGTCGGATGTCATCGGCGTTAATTGCTTATTCACCTAAATAACATGGAAAATGGTGCTTAATTGTGAACGATACTTTCAGATTTGGTTCAAGAATCGTCGCGCAAAGTGCAAGCGAATGCAGACAGGGATGGTGGAAAAGTTGGAAAAGTTGTTTGCATGATGACAACTTTATTTCGGTCATATTTTCTTATATTAAATATTTTTCGTTCTCAGAATACTCACGCTCCTCTCTGTTTCTCCCGCTATCGCTTTCTGTACTCATACGTACCCTCGTAACTTGTTCGGGTCATATTATTCTTAATCCGTGTTGTGGGAGTGCCTTCTCGCCGCAAATGGCTCTAGTCTAGCGCTTATACCTTTACCCCTCTTGAACGGCTTGTATTTCACCCACGTCTCTCATTTTTCGTCATCAGTATGCCCTCGCATTCCTCGGTCTGCCTTCTTCTTACCTACGGTAAGCTTTCTTTAGATCCTTAATATTCCCATGAAATGCTAACCCTTCCTGCCCCGATATTCTTGAGCCACTTCATCGAGTTGAAAAGTTTTAATCACGGTCCTCATTTGTTTCACTTATGCTTTTGAACTGGAAAAGTTATTCAATAGGTAGCTTTCATATGGAGAATGACGCTGCTTGTGAATACTATAGAATGTTTTTCGCCCTGGTTTAGTTGAATCGAATAGTTTTTTCTTCGTCTTTTTATTCTAACATTTTGTTGTATATAGCAGTTTGTGTTGCTGAGGCAAAGGCTTTTGTTTCCAAATAGTTTCATTATGCATCATCTTGAATGTGTTGGGTTCCACGTCCTTCTATGTCGGTTCCTTAAAGCCTCTGTCTCTTCGACTTAAGTTTCAGCTCGCACGTTGTCATCTTACTACTTTAAAAACTTAATAATTTGTCGCTCTTGCCACATTGTGTCAATTATCTATTATAATAAAGCTTATAAATGGTTTGGCGTTCCATGTATATCAGAATAACCACTAAGTGCAGAAACGATACGAAGCAACTATAACCAGAATCGGAAGTATTAACCGTCGTGGTTAATGTGCGATATTCTCGAAAATAGCACGAAAGAGTGTTTTTGTAGAACTAGAACAAAGTGGAAATTTTAGGGAAAGGTTTAACTTATAGGAGAAAGCTGTAAAGTTTCTATCGCTTAGTAGTAGTGCGTGTTTTCACCCTGTGGAACGTAGACATGTAATGAAGATAAAGAAGCCGGTGTTGATCATCAGTTGGATGTGGCGTGACTATCGTGCAATCACTGGCTCCTTCACCGAGACTTCCTCCAGCTAAACCTTTATCTATCTGTTTTGTTATTACCGATAGTCATCACAAGTCACTGAGTAGGTTGAATGTCCATTTAGTTTTAACACCACCGATGAAACGGTATTCTTCTAATGACGTCTAGTCAAGTGAACTCACGAGAGGTTACCACAATATGATGAGGAGCCGTTCATTATCACGTGATCCTCGGCTCAATGATCACCACCCCGTTTACCCTTCATTCCGCTGCAGTGGCTGATGAAAATGAGGGCAAATTTACGTGCTAAGTGTTGTGATAAAGTGTTGACACCAGTAATGGGTTCAAAAATCGTACGGGGCAAAAAATGACAGTCTCTTCAGCAACGGTTCCAGAAGTGGAACAGAAATTGGCCATAAAATTAGATCTGCAGCGGAAATCTTCCAATCTTCCACTTAAAGTGTTCTTAGAGGAATTTTCGCCGTGGTTATCAGTTTGATGACTACGTTCTTATTCTTTTCCGAAAAGCCGTGCTTGACACTTTGTTTACGAAGTAATGCTGGTTTCCTACCTTTCAAATCAAATGCGCGTACCACAGCATATGATTAAATTCTTTAAATTAAATAAGAACCACTCGAATTGGCATATTGTTGGTAAAGCGATTCAAATTGAAGTACATAATCACAATGAAACACTAGGTTTCTAGGAACCTCTATGAATATTCTGAAAGCAATGAAGTAAAATATCGCATTCTAAGTCTTACAGCATTTACGACGGTATAGCTGCGTTACTAGGTTTTCTTGATGCAAATTCGGTTCTTGAAAGGTTTCGTTGCTTCAGTTTTTTCCAACCATTGCGGACAACGTAGTCAGAGGTTGTAGAGAACCTATATTTTGTCATACGTTACAATATAATCAAGAAATGATTCTTTTCTGTTGCTTAAAAGGAGAACAGAGCAGATTTCATAGTAGAAGCTTTAGTTCCATTTTTATTTCATGAGTCAAACACTTGTCCAGCCAGGAGACCTTCGAGAGCCAACTCTTTCCGTTGTCAAATTTTTGTTCTGATTATATTGGTATAACATAATCGTTAAAAAATGGCAGAGGAAGAAGCTGTTCGAAGCCATGAGACTTCATAATCAAGAAGAAGAAGTGCGTCGGAGATGAGCAAATTCATTGGTGACGAAGGATAACGTTACGTTTAGTGAATGCAAGTGGAGTACCATATACTTATTCAAGTTGGTAAGATACAAAACGGAACTCGATTATGTTTTTTCGCCTTAGCCTTATAATGAATGGTTTCACGTAGTCTGTGCTGTCAGCAAACCAGTTCTTCATTCTTTTACACAAGTTTTTTTAAAATTACATGATCAAACATCACCTGCATCACACTGTGCGGATCTAATCACTTCTTCCATTCTATTCGCTTACTCGCATCCACCATGCAAGAAGGTCTTCGAAGTTCTTCTTTTGCTTGTGGGTTTGGCTGGTGCTTGAGGTGATTTTTGTCTTGGCTAGGGTGTTCTTAGATGGATTAGAGGAAGTGGGCTTTTATTGTGCCAGAGAGGTCTGGTGCTAACTTCGCAACTCGGAGTGATGAGAGACTTAGCGTGCACGGTGCTGGCTCGGACCAAACCATGGGTTGGTTGGGCCGTCTTGTTTATGAACGGGATCACTACCGCTGTGCTACCGGCCTTTACATTTTATATGGACATAGAAAATATTGGTTTTTTATAATACTCAGCTTTCTTTCGGCATTGGTTTATCCCTTTATCAAAGCATGACGTTGCGGAACTTTGATCGAAAAATGGAGCACATTTCCCAGTAGGGTCTCCTAGCCCGAAAAGCAATGAAAATCCATTTAGAAGACCGGTGGTGCACAAACTTATAAAATAAAATTTGGTGAGTTGCCTGTGGCTATTTTTCTTTAAAAAAGAGTAAAAAAGGCATCATACAAGGAGTCTGGTGCTTTTCGTATTTTTTGTGCGATCTTTGTGCATGACAAGGACAAATAGAGTTTGCTGGAGCACGATCGAATGACAAGCATGATTAACGGGATCACAAGTGACACATGTGAGAGCCGAAACCTAGTTCTCTCAATACAACGCAGTCAATCACTCCTTTGGCCATATTTCGTTTGGATGGTTAATGTACTAAAGAAAACGTTTCTAAGAAAGTAGTGTAAACTGAATGTTACTGGATTATCTACCACTCCTCGCTTAACCCTTCATTTTCTTCTAGGTCTTTTTCTAGGTCTTCATTCTAGGTCTTTTTCTTTAAAAACAAAATAAAGCCAAAGCACAAAGCCTTCGGCGTCGATCAATTCCTAAGAGATGCACCATGCATTCGACTTCAGTAAGTATCGTTGGAGTTGATTGAATGCATATACGGACTTTACAATGACTCACGGTGGCGTACCGATGTATCCAGCCAGTGCTGCCATCTTCTTAGATAAGACTGACACCAATTTGCCGACCCAGGAGGGATGCAAGGCTTGGTGGACCACGGGCGCGGGATTGATTTCAGGTGCACGCCGTAGTGGAGTCTCCAACCACTGCACCACACGCGCTCAAGACGAAATATGGTTTTTTCGCACTATAAATAAAGCTGAAGAAAAAATCAAAAACTAATCTAGTCCATACTAAATTTTTTACGTACTTTTGCCTTCGTTCAACGTCGTTTGTTACAGGCACTGTCTTTGTTGTTGAGTTCTCCGGTGTTTTCTTCTATATGACTTCCTAGAAATCTTTAACAAGCAAAGAACATATAAAACAGGGTGTAGCTAAGACAGTTTTCACCTAGTAAGTGATTTTTCAATAGTTAGTTAATAAATGTTTACCTATTCATGGTGTGTTAACTTAAAAAAAAAGTTAAGCATTTATTGCAGATGCCTAAATACCTCTGTCACGATGAGTATTTAAGAGCATTTCCAGCTGTTTCGTTGACCTAGACCATAGTCTACATGAGGTGTTAGGTTAATAATGTAGGTTTGACTGCAAATTGATGATCTATCGCCTACTGTTTCCAGTGCCACGTTGAATGATAATCGAGTGTGGTTTTGACACTAATCCTTTTGTAGACGTGATTTCAAGCGCTTTCTACACCCCAGTACAGTCACCCGAGTCGCTTGTTCTTCTGGGTTACAGGAAAATTTTCTACTTTGGAAAAGTTTTATTCGATGACGGCAGTAAGTAGAGCGGCTTCTCTGCCGATCTATCGAAGTAATGGGGGACGATTCAACAGACCGAATGCAAGTGAAATGTTAAGCCGGAAAAATTGATGACTTTATCACAATCTTCAGTTATGTACTGTGTAACTAAGCTAATATAAATTTAACGCACATCATCATTACACCGCTTTGACTTCTGATTCCCCTCTATTTTGTGTGTTAAAGGAATGCAACCAAATACTATGAGATGTGGATGCAAAGTTAACATATAATAAAATTATGAGTATGTCTAGCATAAAAAACAACGACTACAGAATTAATTACAAGCCTAGCTGTCATTTATGTGGATTTCCATCAGAGAACCATGCAACGATATTTAAAAAGACCGGGCCTAGTATACCACAAATGATAATATGCTTATATTATGAACAGCAGTTTAATAAAGAAAAGACAGAAAAATGACAAAGCTCTGGATGTCAAGTGATCCCTCAGGAATGCGCCGTACATCCGATTCAACTAATATTAGAAAAGTAGATTGAATCCATAATTGGCCTATACAGTAACTTGTGCTGGCCTACCGATGCTCATGTCATTCAGAATTAATGATATGCTAATATTCAACAGCTGACTTCACACAGTACAATGAGTTGAACGAAATTGCGGAAAGCTAGCTTGCCATCTTCAATGTTAAAATAACTGCGACGCAATCAGTTGATAATCATTAAAAATACTTTCACACCATCATAACTCATTA